GGCTGAGGATCCTCTTCTGGGATGTACTGGTGAACATCCACACAGTCTTCAAATGCCTCATCAGAATCCTCATTTTCAACGCCAACAACAACAACAGCATTGTGATCATCATGCAGTTCATTGTTGTCAACATTGGCATTATTGTCTCTCACATTAATATTTTGAATGTTGACATTGTCATTGTCAAAGTCAGTGTCAGTGTAATCATCATATCGTTCCTCTAATAATCTAATAGCTCATTCAGCCTCCAAAAAATTATAGACAGCAAAATAAAGATTGTTCAGGAAGCCAAAGAGTCCACCTGTCACGACTGGGGCCGCAGCCGTGTGAAGTGTAGAAAGGAGGACTCAAATGCAGCACTTACTCAGATGTGAGGGTGATTTATTAAGAATACTGAACATAAAGTGGGGATGGCAAAACAGGACTAAGGATAAACTAAACTGGGAGAAACTAAACCAAAGAGTAGCAAACTGGACACGCAGGGAGGACACGCAGGGGATTCATGGAGAAATGCAGAGTACGCAGGGTGACACACAGGATGAACACAGACGACGCGACAAGGAACAGAGGCAAACACACACTATAAATACACAGAGGGACACTGGGAAATCACACACAGGTGGGAGACACAGCTGGACCTGATTAACCTGACGAGACAGGGGAACACTGACACCAGGGACCAACAGAGGGAGCACAAACCCAGAAACCCAGTATCTAAAATCCCAAAACACAAACCATCCCAAAACAGCCCACACAGAATAATGAAAATAATAACAATAAATACACCAAACACAAAATCACTGAGTCACGGACTCAGGATCATGACACCACCAATAGGTTCATAAGCTGGTTCCTGATCTCCACTTGGAAACATTTCTGGGTTAACCTGTCGGCCTGTAAGATCATTTAATGAGCATTCATAAATATCTGCTGAAAATCCGTTTTTCATCAATTCCAAGACTGAGTACATGTGCTTATACCATTACGGTTATTTTGTGATCCATCTCCTGTCCTCCAATAGCCAAACCCATCTGTTCTCTGATTGGATAGTTAAATTTGTGATTGACATGACATTGGCCAATCAGATGAAAGAAGAAAAATAGGGTCAAATTTCATAGCTGTACCTTGAAACTTGAGTGCAGAGCAGTGTTGCCAACTTAGCGACGTTGTCGCTATATTTAGCGACTTTTTTTCTAAAAAGCGACTAGCGACAAATCTGGCGACTTTTTCTGGTGTTATTGGAGACTTATTTATGACGACTTTTTGACGTGAAAGCGAGTATCGCTTTTACTCTCAACAAGCAGCGGGTGCTGCCGTGGGCACCTCGCCCGTTCCAAAGCGCTCACGGGCGGAGGATAGTCCTCCCCCAGCTGCTATCAGGGCAGAAGATGTTCACACCTATGCGTCCGAACTGCAAATGAATCGCGCATGAGCGAAGCCGCTGCTCCCGCACTGACTGTAACGCAGTCAGTTCTTCTTTTACTGTTATGCTGTTTTGTGGATCACAAGGTTTAAAACTACTTATAAACACACACACAAAGTAACTCCACCAGAGTGCCAATTTCGGGTCACTTTTGCCGGTCCAGGCCCGGATAAAGGAGCAGGGTTGGAATTGTGACATTAAAAAACAATAATTGCTAAAAGAAATTTAATTTGTAGTTCTAAATAAATTCTAACTGCATTTAGGACGTTTTTTACTCACTTTGTCTCTTCCACGATGTTATTTCTCTCTAAAACAGCGTAGGTTACAAT